TAGGAACTCTGCCCAGTGCTTGGCATCCGGGCTTGTTCAGACTTCCCTTTTCAGCCTTAACTGGTAAGCTCAAGAAGAGATGCAGCGGACCAGCTGTGCTATTAAAGGATGCTTGGTGGGTTTGCCTTGGAACGTGCTCTTGTTTGGGAAGGCTGGGGGTGGGTCTTTGTGTTTGGATTCCACCTGTCCCCAGGGATCCTCTAGGGAAGGAAGGGAGCAGATGTGCACGCCCTGTCTGCTCGGCTGGGGCCAGTCGTCTTCCTCCTTCTCACGACCTAGCGGATGTCCAACAGCATATGGGGCTGTCCCTTCACAAATGTGCCGACGTAGAAAGAATGCATTAGGCAGACCTGCTCCTCATATTTGCAGGACTGGAGCAAGAGTAAAAAGCCTGAGCCCCATCTTCCTCTTTGTGCCACCCCCGATTCCATCTTGCACTTTGAGGGGCCTCTGGCACCTGTGTATTTACTCTCCAGCCTGCAGGACCCAAAGAGTTGGGGATGAACCCTCCTCCTGAATAGAGGTACACACACCTGCCCTGAGGTTCTTTAGTGGTACAGACCTGAGGAAGCAGGTTCCACCTGGGTGATTTGCTCAGGGGATTCCTGAGTCCCAAGTACCCGCAGCATGGTCTAGAAGGGGATGGGCACGTCCCTTAGCACAGGACTCCTTTCGTGGAATTCTCTAGAGCAAAGTGCTGCAGGCAGAGGCCCTGGCTGCTTGGGTCTAAGGGCTGAATGCAGGGTCCTGCAGTTTCATCACGTCCCTGGGACAATATCAATAAAGATTGTGTGCTAGGTTTGTAATTTTCATAGACCCGAATGTTCTCATCTTTGATAGTTTTATAGTGCTTTAAAAATGCTTTTCCAGGGAATTCCATTTTTTATGTCTTTCCATTATGATATAGCTCCCTTGGTTTCCCCTGTTGGTTTGCAACCTCAGGATTTCCCCAGGTGGAGTCTGAAATTGGCCTTTGTACAAGGAGGGAAAGGACGGACCGAAGAAAAAGGCAGACCACTCTAGATTGGTAGGTGGCAGTTTTAATAAGCAAGGGAACTCAAATATGATGAGTGGATCTATGCACCCTCCAGGATCTTAAGAGTTTATAGAAAGGCCTCAATGGAGTTCAGTCACTTATTAGGTCCAGATCACTCAATAACACGTTACTCTCTCAAGGCTGCATCCTTGAAGGGGTTCCAGGTGTGGGAACAGTGGGTGGAACATACATTCCAAGGACAGGCAAGAAGGTAAGGAACCTCTAATTGCCCAGGTCCAGCTGTCAAGTCAACCAATGGTCATATCCTCTTGATGACCTCTTCCATCATCCATAGATGTCCTATGTCCCAAACTGTGGCTCAGGCCACTGTCAGTAGTGTTCTGGGGAGGATGCATTTAGAAGACATTTGTGAATGAGAGCAATTTGCTTCCATAAGAAAGGTCTTGGAGATGCTACCAATGGGTTTTCATGCTATCCTTGCCTCCAGATGGTTCTCCTGGTCTCTGGGTGGTTTTTTCCCAAGTGTTCTCCTTATTTGAGCTGCCAACGCCCATCTTCCTGAGTTCCCAAGTGCCCTGGCTCTTCAGGATGATCACTAAGGTGCCTCATCCATGGGACTGCCTTCCATGATGGAATAAGACCTTTCTTTTCTTCCCTCTTCCCTGTCTTAAGTTTCATTCCCTCAAGGTCTACTATCTGTGGATATGTTAGCGGCTGTTAATGATTCCTCCCAGAAAACATCTACATTGTCATAAGTGGTTTGGGAACTATGCCTTTTCTTAAAGACATTGCTGCTGGTGATTTTAGGCACTGCAGCAAAACAGTAGGGAGGATATTATTGGGAGGGAGGAGGCTCTTGGGCCTCTGCTCCCTGGGACAGAAGAGGTCAATAGTGACAAATTATCCAGGTAGAGTAACTCTTTATATAGCAACTATCATTCTGACTCATTCCACACCTCTGTGAAGACCTCACTAAGACTGGGACGTGAACTTTGGTCATGCCTTGGTTCTAAGAAGGCCACTACATTATTCATTTGGCTAAAGAGTAAGAGTACTGGCACCAGGGGAAATTATTATATGATGACATACGTTTTTTACTTAACAGATGAACTCACTGTCTAGCCTTGGTCTACAGAGTAGCTTCTACCAGGAAGAAGGAATGAGGCACTAGTATCTTGGAAGCCAGGTTGATTGAGGAGGAGAGGGGAAGTGTCAGGGGAATGCCAGAATGTGAGGATCTCATTGAGGGGCGCTGAGCAAATAGCACATGAGATTATGTGAGCAGGGAAAGGCTTTCCACTCACCAGTCACCCCTTGGCGTGTCACTCAGGTTCCGAGTCCTCACACAAGCTGGCTTCCAAGAGGCTGGCAGATGACACAGTCTGGGCTTTTGTTTCTTCTTAATGGCATCATTCCCTGGCTTATCAACACAGCCATTCCACCTCAATTCATGCTTCCCAGAAGGGGTGGCTGGAGCCAAACTCCATCTCTCTTGCAGCCCTTTAACAGGTCTCCTCTGGTCCTGAACTCTGAGCACACCACAGAGCACACAGCTTTTGACTCTATGAGAAGCATTTGGGATTTTTTCTTTTTTCGAAAAAAAGTTACTCTAGACCCTAAAGGTATAATCAGATCTATTCTTACACCTCGCTTTGAGGAAGAATGGGGTAAAATCCAGGCCAGCTGGCACTTGAGCAAGCAGGTCACACAGTCCCACTGGGACTGCTCAGGCTTTGATACCCCTGCAATGTCACCTAGTTTTCTCTGTGCTGCATCTCAGTTAAATGCTGTACCTTTGAAACCTCAAGGTACCAGTCAGGGTTTGTAGTTGCAAGCAACAGAAATGAACTCTGGTCGATTTAAAGAAAATTGATCAAAAGATAGCTGGGTAGCTTATAGAGTCATCAGGAGGCTAGAGAATTAGGCTCTAGGCTACACAGCCTGGAACAACACCCCAAAGAATGCTAAAGAACTGATCCTGTGAAGACAGTTCTATGGCCACTGCCAGCATAGATGTGCATCCTGCTCCTCTGACTCTGCTGGCTCTGGACACTGCTACTAATACCACTGCTGTTGCTGGGCCAGGGATGCAAATTTGCCTAATGGCCCCTGTTTCCAATTCCATCCATCTGAAGCTGTGAACTTCCTATGCAAAGTCTTGGGGAAGGGGGTGTGCATCTGATGGCAGGAAGTGGAGCCTTTGCCATGGCCACAGGTAGGACTGGGACAGTGAGCTATTGACACCATCAGCATCAGCAGTGGGAGGCAGGCTTTGCCTCCCACTGAGACTCAAAGGAATTCTGTAGACATAGGAGGAAAGTTCAGATACTGTGGGGCCGAAAAGAGTGACAAATGAGCCCTACCCTCTTTTAGATCTAACCTGAACCCTCATACTCATTACCGGCTTGAAGACATTCATTCATTCAACATACATTTATTGAGCACTTGTTAAGAGCCAGGCTCTGTGATTACTTCTGGGAAGAACAGAGAGGTAAAAGAGAAAGAGCTTCCTCTCAAGTAGTCCCCAACCTACTCGGGAAGGTAGAAAAAAGAGTAAGAAAGGGATAGTAGGTGATTTTACCGAAGTAAGCTCTGGGATACCTAAGCAGAGGAGATAACACATAAATTAAATCTTGAAGAATAAGTGGGAATCGCCAGGGCAAAGGCAGGTGAGGGTGTTTCAGGAAGAGGAACTTCCTTGTGGCTGTGTGTGCTTGGTTGCAAGGAGGGACCTGGTTGGGGACAGGGGTGAAGTGACAGGCAGAGACAGATCATAAGAGCATTGTATGCCCTACTGAGGAGTCTGGATTTTATACTGAAGATCGTGGAAAATAATTGGGGAATTTTAAGGAAAAGCATTTTAGAACATCACTTTATCATGGGAAATTAATTGCATGGGACAAGACTGAAGGTAGGAAGACCACTTAGGAAGTTCCTACAGGAATCTAGGGAAGAAATAAGGACAGAGAGATCCAAGGATGATATAATTTAGGAGATGCTTTGGAGATAAAGTTGATAGAACTTGGTAATTGATTATTAATGTGACTTTTAGAAGAGGAGGACAGATTATAGATGACTTCTGGCTCAATGAGTTGATCAATTACGGGGAAAGTGATGTCACAGATTTAGGGGAGAGAGGGTGTGTTTGATTTTGGAAATGTTGAATTTGAGGTGCCTGTGATGCATTGGCGTAGAGATGGCTGGGAGGCAGAGGGACATGTAGATCTGAATTTCGGGAAAGGAGGCTGAGCTGGAGATAGAGGTTGGAGAGCATCGCCATCTTGGTCACTGGTGAAGTCATGGAAATGGCGGGGATCAATAGTGAGAATCCACAGTGAACAGAGAGAGGAAGGAGGTTCAAGGATACCACATGGGCATCTGTCATCAGCATTTCAAGAACAGAGGAAAGAGGCCCTGCGAAGGAACAAAGAAGGGTCAAACCAACTGAGGCAGAAAGAAAATCAGAAGAGGTTGAAAGCTGAATGAAGAGAGATTTTTAAGCATGAAGAAGTAGGAAGGTCAAGACACGAGGACTAAAATGTGCATTTGAAATTGGTAGAAAGACATCATGAATGACCATTATGAGGGCAGTTTCAACAGAGTGGTGGCCGCAAAGCTTACAGTGCATCTACGCAAGAAGGAAGGTTAGACAATGGAGATGGGGAGTGCAGAATAATTTTGGGGAAGTTTTATTATGAAAGACAAGGAAAGAGATCGGGCAGAGATTAAGGGGTGATATAGGATCCAGGGAGGAATTGCTAAAATCTGGCCATTATTACCTTTCCAACACTTTATTACCTGGTCAGATACTGCTCTGTGAATGCACACAATCTGTAGTCCTCTTCCCCTTCTCTCCCTTCATCTCAGCCAAGAATGAAAAGAGAAATAACTCATTTGACAAACATTTAGTGAGCACCTGCCATAGTCCAGGCATTGTTTTAGGTTCATTGGTCAACAAGACAGACTGTGATTGCTGCCCTCATTAAGATTGGATTTTCCCAGGGGAGCATAATAAGTAAGTAAATTATATAGTTAGTGATAAAATGCTAAGGAATAAAAGAAAAAGTAGACAAGGTATGGGGGACTGGGAGTGTCTATCGGGCGACAAGCATTTGACATTAAATGGTCTGGTCAGAGTAGACTTCACTGAGAGGTGATGTAGGAGGAAAGCCTTGAAGGTTAAGCAAGTCCAGGTAACTCTTCTTACCTCTCACTGAACAGGGAGCAGAGGTCGAAGAAAGGATGGAAGGTCTCAGTGCCAGTGCTCCTACTGACTCAAAGAAGACCACCATTGCCAACGGTATACTCCAGTTCATTCCCCCATCTCAGTAGCAATTTGTCCTTATTCAATTCATTTTTCTTGGGCAGTGATTTTCATGTCTTTTAATTTTTAAGGAAAATCAGTGAAACCTGCTTTTCCAAGGAAATTTTATTCGGAACTCCAATACATAAAACAGAAAAAAACAGAGCCACTACTGGGGTTCAAAGCTCCCTTCATTGCCCTCTGAAGCCCTCTGGACAACCGTGTCACAATGCTGGGTTTTTACATTTCAAGAGCTTCTGCTCATGTCAAGCTTCCCCTTGTCTGTTGAGCCATGTCTTCACTCGGAGTCATCCTGCCTGCATGAGTCAATCCTGGTTGGTGTATGTGGCTTGACACGTCATGGACTCAGTTCTTCTGGGGGCAGAAAAGAAAAGGGATTGGTGGACTATTTGACCTCTCTCTTTAGACTTGACCATCAGCTTACTAAATTAAAGTCATTAACGAGAAAGTAAAGAGGATAAGATTAGTTGCCTACAAAGAGAGCTCTTAATTACAAACACGGTCAATAATGCACTTTGTTAGCATCAACTGACGTCAAAACATGCATTGAACCTGGTGCTGAGATCCAGGCTCTTTTCACTGTCTGTGCCTCTTTCGAGAAAGAGTTAAAGCATCGCCCACAGATGATTCTGTAGCACTTAAGTCACAGGCAAAATTTACTCAGAAAGTTGTGGATTTAGGTGTGGAGAGAAAAGGGGAGGAAAATAACACCAACTCATCTCACGTGACATCAAAAAGGAAATAAGAGCACTGGGTCCAGGTTTGAAGGAACTGATGGGTTTTCAGGAATTATATTTAAAGGGACTCTTCTCACGGAGGCTGTGTTTGGTGGGGCAGGGGCTGTCCTCTGGCTTTCCAGGAGATACAGAGGTTCACAACTTTCTCCTCTCAGTTTGCTTTCCCTAACAGACGTCTTTGTACGCTAGTGCAGCAATCAAAAGGAATGCTCTGTCTGGCCTAACACATGGGGTCCTCTCCTGCCCTCATGGGGAGCAAACAATCCCCCTTGCCGTCTCACTCTCCTTCCACCTCCAAATCAGGTCCTTGCTGGCGACATCACTAGTCTGACACTCCAAGGCTCCCCCATTTCTTGATATCTGGCTTTGCCTTGCTCCCTGGGCCTAACTGTCTCGACAATCTATTCAATACCTCAGCTCCCATCTTGCTCATTCCATTCCCCATTCTCTAGTCCAGAGCCCTGCCCTTGAGCCCTCTTTGGGCGTCCCGATTCTGGCTGGCATATTGGCTGCCACTTCTCTGATCACCAAAGCCATGGGGAGCCCCATCCTAGCAATGCTTGCTTATTGGAAAATCCTTATGACCCTTGCTGACTGCCATTGGGTTTCAGTCGTGTCTTGTCATAGTCTTTGCATGTCATTTCCTGACCACCAAACTGGATTTCATCTCAAAAACTACCAGGACTTTTTTATTACAAATGACAGAAAACTAACCCACACTTGCTCAAGCTAAAAAAAGAATGTATTGACTTGTGGCTGAATAGTCTAGGGAATAGACTAATTTTAGGCATACTGTATCACAAATGATGTCATCAAGACTCTGTGTAGCTCTGTTTTAAATAGACTTTATCTTTTAGGAAAATTTTAGATTTTCAGAAAAATTGAGCAGAAAGTACAGAGTCTCCATGTACCTACCCCCTCTTATACAACCTGCCCCCTGCACACAGTTTCCTCTATTATTAACATCTTGCATTAGTATGGTGCATTTGTAACAACTGATGAGCCAATATTGACATATTATTATTAACTAAGTCCATGGTTTACATTAGGGTTCACTCTTTGTGTTGTATATTCATTGGGTTTTGACAAATGTATAATGACATGTATCCATCAATATAATATTATATAGAATAGTTTCACTGCCCTAAAAATGCCCTGTGCTCCACCTGCCCATCCCTCTCTCCCTCCACCTGAACCCCTTTATAGCTTTGCTTTTTCCAGAATGTCGTATAGTTGGAATCATACAGTATACAGCCTTTAGCCTTTTCACAGTGGCTTCTTTCACTTAACAATATGTGTTTAAGTCTCCTCTATGACTTTTCATGCCTTCATAGCTCATTTCTTTTTATATCTGAAAAACAACCTATTGTATGGATGTACCACAGTTTGTGTATTTGTTCATCTATTGAAAGGAATCTTGTTTGTTTCCAATTTGGGGCAATTATGAATAAAGCCTCCATAGATATTCACGTGCAGGTTTTTGTGTATACATATTTTTAACTCATTTGGGTAAATGAGCACCATTGTTGGATTGTAGGGTAAGACTATATTTAGATTTTTAAGAAACTACCAACTGTTCCCCACAGCAGGTAAACCATTTTGCATTCCCACCAGCAATGAATGAGTTCTTGTTGTTCCACGTCTTGGCCAACATTTGGTGATGTCAGTCTTTTGGATTTTAGCCATTTCGTTGAATCGTCCAGGAGATGGACTAACTTTAGGCACAGCTGGGTGTCGAATGATGTCACCAAGACTCTGTCTTTCTCTTTTCATCTCTGAGCTTTCCTTTCCCCTGGACCAACTCCATTCTCTTACAGGGCTTTACCTTGTGGTGTCTCTCAATGGCTTTAGGCTACATGCCCACAACTCCAAGTCCAGCATAAGGAGGATGCCTCTTTCCTAGTCATTCTAGTAAAAGCCCTAGAATTTGAACCATGAATCCATCCCTGAAACAATCCTTGTGCCCAGAGGGGTGAAATCTTGTCCTTTCATTCATTCATGTTGAGCACCTATTCTGTGCCTGCCAGGCAGTGTTCTAGGCACTGATGATGATCAGTGAGGCTCAAGTGACATGTTCCAGGGGTAAAATCTACCCTTAATCCAAAGCAAGTGAATTGAGAGCTGAGGTCAGGTTCCCCAAGGTGCTGTTGCCAGAAGAGAGCTGGTTGGATCACGGATGCTGGGCAGGCAAAGCTACTGCTAAGTCTGCCCAGAGAAGCTGCCCTACCCAGTGGGTAATTGTAGTCCTACATCCTGCATCATTCCACTTTCTCTCAATCCAGCAGTCATCTGGGTTCTTTCTGGCCAGACCCTGAGGTAGGACACCATGGAGACTGACAGCCTTGCCACTGGGAGGTGGAGGCTGTTTCCCCTCATTTGAATCTGGGCCACTCTGTGATTCTTTGACTAATAGGGTGTGATGGAAGTGACACTATTCCACTTCTGGGCATAGCCTCTAAGAGGACTAACAGCTTTTGTCTTGTTCTTTTGGAAGCCAACTGCCATGTTAGAAGTATGAATATCCTGAGACCGCCTGCCTGGGAGAAGTCTACGCCACAAGAAGGGACTCACTGGATGAGAAGCCATGTGGAGAGAGGTTCCAGATGTGTGAGTGAGGAGGCCACTTGGAAGGGTATCCTCCAGCCCCAGCACTGCCCCCCCCGCCCCCGCTGATGCACATGGATCAGAGTTAAACAGCCCAGCTGAGTCCTTTCCAAATTCCTTACCCACAAATTGTGAGCAAAATGAAATAGTTGGTTGAAGCCACTAGTCTTTGGGTCACTTGTTACACAGCAATAATATCCAGGACAGACAGTAACTAGTACAGCAATACAATCAACTGAAACTTAGCACACCAACCCGTTTGGCCCAATGCATTTGCTGGTTTTAATGTCTGGACACCCTATATTCACTAGTCCTACAGACAGTCCTGCAGGTGCTGCTGGCCTAATTTTGTGTTTTTGCATCTAACCTCCTTTTTTGGATGGTGTGTGACATGCTTCAGGCTCCCCAGAAATAGGCTACCACTGGGAATCCTCAGGGAATGTTTCAGAGCTGAAAGGGCCCCAAGAGACCATCTCATTTTGCAGATAAGATTGAAAGAGACCAAAGGAGAGTAAGGGGTGGGGCCGTGGTCAGGAGGAAGCGCCTGGCCTGGAACCCAAAGGACTGTCACTCTTAGCACTTTCCAGTCAACAATCAATTCTCTGTACGAATGTGTGGGCTTGACAGTGGCGTGGATAAGTCCAACTTTGCTTTGAAATACTCTTTAGCTTTTCCCTAACTCCCACTCCCCACAACTCACTCTTCCACTGTTTGATCTCATCTAATTTAAGACTCTTTTGAGACGACCTGGACTCTGGAGTCAGACGCAGATCCAGGTCTGGATTCAGCCACTTATCACCTTTGTAATGAATCACTTTCCTTTCCTGCGTTTCGGCTTCCTTCGCTGTAGAATGGAGAAAACTTCCTCCCTGGTGGTTGTATATTTGTATTAAAAATATTGTTAAATTTCAGTGAGGTCTTGGACAGAAATTGTTGCCCACAGTGCTGGCACATGGTAAATGTCCCACAGCGGTGGCACTGGCTGCTGCTGAGTGTCAGGGGAATGAAATTCCCACAGACAGAGCTTTCATTCATGAACAGGTTATGTTCCAAGGTGTTCAGCATGTTTGACAACATCCCCATCAGTCAGCAGGGTAAATTACATTTTCAGACGGCAAGAAAAGATAAACTGAGGCACTGAGCTGGTGCCTAGTCTAAGGAAAACCAATGAGCTAGTTGGAGAGAGCACTGCCCCCAAGGGATGGACTGGCCCATCGGCTGGGGAGCGTTTTCAGAAGGGCCTCTTGGTTGGGGAAGATAAATTTATCTTGCAACATTTCCCTCTGGAAATAAAATGCCTTTCCTAATGAAAGGAAGTGCTTTTCTTCGTTCTTCTTCCCTTTCCTCTCTCTCTCCTACTTCCCTTTTCTCCCCATATCATCCAACTACAACTCTCTGATATATGAATAAAAGAGAAATCGTATGAGCAAAACAAAAGGGCCTTCTGTAAAGCAGAGATGAATGGAGTCTCTTTGCTTTTTCTCGGAGCCCTGACAAGATCTGCGGCTCCACAATGGTCTGGGAATTCCTCTGGGCTCGTTGGCTTTTTGCCGCCTTTATTTCTTTTCCCCTTATTCCTTGTCCTTCCGTGGGTTCACAGAACTTCACAATCTTCACTCTTTCTCAGGCAATGAGGTCTTTCCCCAGGTTGTCACAAGGCCATGATGCTGGCTTCCCGTGCGGGAGGATGACAGTATCGAGGCTCCAGCAGATTCCTCTGCAGCTTCAAGCCACAACACTCACTCTGTATTCTACTGGCGATATTTCCCATTGCATTCATTTTAAATCTATTTTTAGATGACCCTTTCAAAATTGCATTGACTGTCCTGAAATAATACTGCATGCTCGTGGGTGGAAATAAATCCCAATAATAGTTATGCCTGGCCGGAGTTAAAGTAAATTTTTGGAAATGAACAGTTAATGATTTATGATGTTTGTACTCAGGAAAGGTTTTAATGTGTCTTAGACGTAGAAAATAGCATTGATTTATAGAATCAGTGAAGGAGAACAGAG